AACCTCTATTATCGAATATGTTTAATTGTAATTGTATTTATTTATTGTATTTAGTATTTTTAATTATAATGTTAGCTTACGCTACATTACTCCACTACCAGAATCTCTTAAATCGTAACACAGTTACTGGAGGGGAAGTAATGTAGTGGAATATAATTTAATGTTTCTATATAATTATTAAGACTTCCTAAGTGGCAACATAATGTAATGTTTTGGATAGTTATTAAGATTCGCTGTGTGGAAACAACGAGTCGAGCTAAAAACGTCGTTACTTCAAGTGTTCCTTGATAAGCGTTGCGTAAGCTTTATTTCTTAAAAGTTTGTTATATTTTATGTAAAAAATAAGTAGCATGTTGCAAACAAGAATGGAAACTGTAAAAATAAATATGCTGTTTTTCTTAAGAGCAAAATAAGCATTTATTTCACTTATGAAATGCTCTGGCTGATCAGTTTCGATTTCACTTATTCATCAAATCCACATGCCTTTATCCATTTTTTGCAGCAATTCCACTTTTTGTTTGATGGACATCAAAGCATGCTTTTGTTGTAGATACTTTGGCAGCTTCAGAATTGGAAACTCTTTTTGACATAATCGAAAGTTCAAGCTTCATTTTTATAAAATTGCTCTAACAATCTGCACAAAATAATAAGCTGGATCCAATTAGAAGATTAAGGAACAGCGCAATCTGCAACATTAACTGAAATGCCTTAGAATCAGTAAAGATAATTTAGCTTAGCTTATATCATCCGTTAGACATTAAATGGGCATGCGTAAACACATTACGCACATGTGTAATCCATTATGCACATCCTAAAAAAAAAAAGTTTGTGGCTTTGAGGTCCAGATTATAGATCATTCCAGATAATGGACGTCTAGATTACGGACTTTGTACTATATATCAAAAAAGTAATTAAAAGTTGGTGTTAAATACTTGTAATGGCATTTTTATTCATTCCTGGATGTTACGATTTTTATTTAATACAAAGAGACTATCGAATTTTTGGCTTTTTGTATAAACAGAGTTAAGTTGTAATTGCATGGTTAAAGATTGCTAGAGTAAAAACAATTCTCGGAAATCTCCCAAATCCAATTTCTCTAGCACCTGTCGAACTTCACGATAGTAAGGGGTAGCATAATTTTGGAGATGGTCCATTCAAAATTTGAGGCTACTTTCAATGATTGGCAAAACATACCTTTTCCCACAACAGTGCAGTGTTATAAACACCATTAACAGCAGCCCCAGGATCACTGTACCTTTCGTAAGATTTGTCTCCACAAGCAATAAATATCTTTGGTGCCACAAAGGGCTTCACAACTCATGGAAACATATTTTGGCATATATCATCATAGATGCTAACCATTCCACAGGATTGGAAATTTTAGCGCTTCTGAGAAAATAGTTTTCCTACAGAACTCTTTCTAATCATCAATATATTCTGAGAAATGAAATGTATCTCTTTTGGTTTACAATTAATGCTTAACACCCACTTTCTTATCACTGGTTAATTTCAGATAACCTACAGCTAAAATACTTGATGCTCACATTCTCAATCAGAATCTGCTTCTTTCTATTATTTCAGACAATTTATAGAATAAAAGTTTAGCTTTATCTTCAGTTTGCAGTCTGCGCAGTAAATCGGCAATAGAAAAATTCCCAAGAGATGATGGATTCCTTCATAGGTGCTTGGTTACTTATCTAATGTAGGGTCCTTCATTATTCTGGTAAACAAAAATGAGAAAAAAAAGACAGTTCCACACTTCACTATCCTCAATCTACAGATACTCATAGGCTCATTACGACTTTCTGTCCATAGCATTCTTTGCCAGCTTGCATCTTTGGGATGTACGCAAATCGATCAAAACATGTTCTTCACATTGACACATACCTTAGCCTTGTAAGTTCTGAAATTTAGAAGAACTGGAAATAACATTAGTTGAACTCTGTGGCCAACCATCAAAAGGACATTTAAGAGAAGTCCTGATGCAGTTTTATCTGAAGCATCAAAAGTGACTCACAGTTTAGTAGTCATACTAGATTCCTTCAGAATGGCATGATAAGGCATATAATAAATATAATCAGTAAAAATCTCTTTCTTATGTACTCTTTCCATATGTTCCAACTTATGACATTCTCTTATAGTTTATACGTCTCAGACCTTTTTAAAAAGAGATCTGAATGCATGCATTACTAATTGCCTTCAGTCCCCAAGGAGAGATAATAATGAATGAAAAGGTAATTTGCTTGTAGATTCACTATCATCCCTTTCAAATGCAGAATTAAAGTAATCATCACATGCTTTCTCTGAATTTGTAAAGACAGCAAATGTTGGAACACAATCTAATTTCCCAAAATCACGTACTAATTGCTTTATCTTTACATGTATATTATTCACGTTAGTTTTCAGTTCAGCCTCTAATAAAGCATTAAGGCTACTTGAAATAACCCAACAAAATTCTAAAGGTAAAGCAGCTTCTTTGCATTTGATCATTTTATTCTTTAACAGTGCCAAAAAAAGTATATAATTTGAAAGTCTAATGATAGGCTCACTCTTGCAGAAATATGCCAATATCAGATCAATATATTGCTCAATAAACTATTTACTTGATACAAAATGAGGCAATTCTCCTATAACTCTGTTTATTATTAAACTTTGTAAGTTGTGGATGGCATTCTTTCTGAGAAATGTAGAACAAAACTAATTTATGAAATTTTCTTATGAAAACCTAATTTATGAAATGTTCTCATATCCAATATTTCTAAACACAAAATAAAAGTCTTGGCACTTCTTCTAAACAAACTCATTCTCTCAAAACTTCCTCTGTAATGAAATGATTTGATTTCCAGAATCAATTAATACCTGACAAAATCAAAATTATCCAGATGAATCTAACACCTTATAATAGCTGTACATAATTAAAATCAGATGCTGAAAGTTGAAGACTGACACACAAGATTTTATATTATTGAACATGAGCTTTTGGTTTTTTACTTAATTCAGCTGGTAGAATTTCATTGCTAGATATTTATTATTATATTTATTAATAGATAATTACCTTATCACACTTGCTACATAAGAATTTCTAAGCATATGTCTCTAAACAATTCTATCTCATGTTGTATGCCTTCTGGAATTTTATGCGTATATGCAGATGAATTTGTGCTACATTTTATTTTATAATAATACTACCTGCCTCAAGAGGCATGACAGTCCGCCACACTTTTAGCTAGTTGTTGTCTTGTATTTTAACATAAATGCTGCTGACGAATTCTGTTGCTCTAACATGGTAAACAACTCTTGTAAGAAATGTTTATCAATGCATGTTGGAAAACAGTCATTTGTTGGGTCTATTTGTATTAGCACTATTACTAATGTTATACACCATATTATGATGATTACAAGCTATTTGGTTCATCATGGTTATTACTCCATAACAATTGTTAGTGTTGAACATGCATATGCTGTGTATCATACTACTTACAAAATAATCCGTGCAGTATGATAGACATGCTACCTGCCAGGAATGCACCTCAACACATGATAAACTTGTAATTCACAAATACATAATGATTGCCAGTCTGTGGCTAGAAATAGTATAGGAATGTGCACCACACTATATATCTTGTTCTGAAGAATGTGGGTGACAGTGAAATGCCACAATTTTGAGCTGCTGTTTTGTTCACATGCTTGATTATCCCTGAAAGTTTTGCAGCAGTTGTGACTGCCCAAACCTGGAAAGTCCAAAAGCTTCCCTTGTTTGATTTAAATATCTCTGGTTGTGGTAAAATAGTAGCATTAATATCCACAATAATTTTCTCTTTTGATGTTATTCAAGCTTTAGCAATTATCTTCTCATCTTAAGCTTGCAATACGTTATTTATTCCCCTCCTCCCCCCAAATCCATTAATTCACCAATTGTGCTGATTCTTTGGTTGTTTACATGACCAAAATCTCAAGGTCTCGTTTTCTTATTGTGGACAGTATAAATAAATTTACAACTGCCTAAGACACAGTAGAACAATAAAAATATAAATTAAATAATGATACTAATTATTACTTCTTACCTTGCATAGAATAGGTTGAAAAATAGCCATCTCATTAAATTACACAAGTATCTATAATCTTCCACTTCCACTATTTTCGAAAACCAGCCAAAAAAAATTAAAGCAGTACTATAAAAAACTTTCCATGTATATTTTAGATATTTTATATTTTGCAACTGCGACTTTTTTTTAACTTGCAGATGATGAAGGAATTTAATTTGAAGCATGAAAATTTTTTTTAAAAATTTAAAATTATCGAGTCATTGGATTTTTTTAAGCAGGAGACGTAAAAAATGGTCATTACCCTCACTGTGACTCGAACCTGGAACTCTCAAATGCGCATCGAGTGGGCTACCGTTACACCATGAAGGCATGCCGAAAGGAGAGAGAAAATACCTTATAAAATAACTTTAAATTTGCATAGTACTGAACATAAAATTTTTAAGACTCTACCATGGGCTATCATAATTTTTTCTTGGTGTTTTCCCAAGTAATACATGGAATTTTACTAAATTATGTGCATCCATGTGTATAACAACTGCTTCATAATTCATTTCAAACAGATAAATTACTTACAGAATGTTCTACTTGGCTGAGTGTTTAAATAAAGTCTCACGATTTTCTTATTATGGGTAACTTTTCCTCGCTCGTATTATCACAACTTACAATACCATGCAGGAAATATCATCCTAAATAGCCTTAGTGTTCCCATTAATTCTTAAATCACGGTGATTAATAAGCAGACATAAAATTAATTAATTTCTTTTTCATTAATCTAAAAGCACAAATTAAAATTTTTTATTGGCAAAATTTAAAAAAAAAAATTGTAATACTATAATTTGAAATTGAATAAACTGAAACTACTTTACTTGGCCATGCAGGTTATGAACGTAGTAATTGTTTTTTGAAGACTGGGGCAGTGAAGGATACTACAAAGATAGTTTGTAAAATTCTTACTTTGATATAATGGTCTTCAGCTCATCAGAAACAGCTGGATCACGGAGCTCTTGCATCCATTTAACTAGGTCATTTGGCATACTTTTATCAGATGCATTTGTGCTAAATTTTGCAAGATCCTCATCTAAGTTTGCTGGTTTTCCTTCACTCATTCTGATATTTGACTCTTCAAATATCTCTGGAGAGGAAAAAAAATTACAATCAAGACAGTGAAAGATTTTCAAATGCTATGACATACTGCATTGGTTTGCAGATGTGTTCTTTTTTTTTTTTTTTTTTTTTTTTTTGAAAAAAGTAAAAATGAACACTTTCCCCCCCAAAAAAAACAATTGAGGGGAAGTTCAACCATTGAACAAAATTTTAGAAGCAATCCATGATTTACAAATGGAAATTTTAAAAAATTTCCAATTTAATCAAAAAGCTTTCGGGTAACATTCAAAGAATCTTTCTCTGTGTTAAGTTTAATTGTAAAATAACCGAACATTTACTGCTTTAGTATCATGTTTAAAAGCCATTAGTATCAATGATAAACCTATTTTTATTTGATTAAGTCTGAAACAATCATATATGCTCTGCTCAATTTATGTTCAAAATGAGTTTTTATCATTGTCTAAATTATTTTCGATGTTCTGCTATTCATAAGTTTTGCATTTCATTTATTTCTTGTTATATACTAATTGATGGCTTTTTACAGATTTATACATATTTAAGAAAATCGAAAGCAGAGTCTACAGCTTTATTAGAAGTTCTGAGTGACAGCAGTCAGTGGCTTTAGCAGTGAATTATCCATTTCTGATATGGATATTTTATCAGATTCAGAACTGCTTCCTTTTGGCTCAATATCTGCTCCATCTGTAAGTGACAATTTGTCTCGTGCTCTAAAAAATTTATAGCCCTATGTTTACATTGATACATCTGGTATTAATTACAATACAATGGATTGTGACTGTGACAAAGAAGATTTTCTTTGCATATTTTTTTACGATGACTTAATAAATTTAATTACAGGACAAAGAAACAACTTTGCAGATTTTGACATACAATGAGATCCAAACCTCAGTGGGTCATCTCAAGATTTTCCAGATCCTTTTCATATCAGTCTAAGGTCACATGAAGAAATAAATCTTTTTTTAGTTAATGAGTACAATAAAAAAAGGATGATCTAAAAATATACTTTACAGCAAATCAGATAATTTTTTACTCCATTCATTAATAAAATATCAAAAGATAGATTTTTAAGGATATGGCAATATTTTCACTCACCGTAGACATCAGGGCTTGAAATCTGAATAAACTGAAACCAATTATTCAGCTACTTGTATAAAAATTTAAAAATATGTATAAACCAGAAAAAAAAGTGTGTCAGTTGATGAATCTTGATCAGAACTGCACCATCAAAATGATCCTGATATGGTAAAAAAATATATGAACTAAGTAAATCCAATACAGTTTATGTTTGGAACTTTTTAATATATACAGGCAAAGATACCAATCTTATAGCAAGAAGTGGCCTAGGTGGTGAAAAAAACCTCATAAGTGATCTTTTGGAGAAAGGATATAACTTACATCTGAATAGATATTTCACTTAGATTTATTATACTATTTGCAATTATTATACATTATACAATTATACTATTCGCATTAGATTTAAGTGACACATAAACAAATATTTGTAGCACAACCATGAAAGCGAGAAAAAGTCTGCCAAAAACATTTCCCATCAAAACCTACGAGATAAAATGATGTACAGACACTGTATAGTAAAAATATGTAACTGGTTTCATTTATAGATAAAAGGAAGAAGTACTGCTTTTAACTATGATGCGTGGACAACAACTAGAGAATTCTGGCAAACAAAATTACAAAACATGATAAAGTGTTAAGAAACCTAACTGTATATTGGAGGACAATAAAAATATGCTAGGAGGATATATTAGTGATGCAGTCACTACTCATTACCCATCTTATAGAAAATCTTTCAAGGGGTATAAAAATGACTTTTTGGACTCCTCGACATTATAATCTCTAATGGTCACGTTTTATACAATGTAAAAAATGGTAACATTACTTAAGAAATCACTATTCATGTGAGGGCTTTTTTTAATTAGGGGAAGAATTTGAAATCTGTTATATAATCTTTACAGTTAATTCTTTTACAGGTGTCTTTCAAAGTTAATTCCTAATCCTTAAGTATGTTAGGTCGCTTTTATGCAATTATTTTCCCATTATTTGCAACCACTTATATTAAATACTGCAGTAACACTTTCTGCATATGAATACATTTTTTCACATTTCACAATATTGCCTTGATAATCCTCGGCAAAGATCATCATTTACGTAACCAATGGTTGAAATGAGCACTTAAAACTTCATGAAAAAAATTAAATGCATTTCCAGAATCTACCGAGTGGCCATAATTAAACTGACAGTGCTCACAGTGTTCTGTAGTGCGACCTATTTGCGAGAATAACGCCACATTTTGTAGGACGATTAAACAAGACGGGGGACGAAGGATTCCACGAAAAAACAAATTAGTTCCAAAAGTCACCGCTAGGGGAATATTTGGCACTGTGTAATAGAAAATTTAACAAATGCAAATTAATACAGAATAAAATTACCTTTTATTATGCACATTTTCTGACTTAGTTCAAGTGCAATATGGCAACACTTTTAAAAAAGCGTAAAATCTACATAAACACTGATAAAGTCTCGTGATCTGCAATATCACGTATGCTGAGCAGAAAAAGAAGTTCTTTATTCAAATTTCACGTTACATCCATTCGCACAGTGCCAGCTGCTTGGGTTTTAAAAGGTAATGTGTTACGTTTTGAATCAATCGGATTGGAAGTTTATGTGCAATGTCTCCTTCTTTAGTCGAGCATGCGTTACAGGTCAAATTCTTTTACAACCAGTGCAATGCATCAGCCACTCTTCGTGCTTTTAGAACGCACAAAAAAATGTGTAAACGTAACGGTCCTGTGTCAGTTAATAGGCTAAAAGCAATGGTTGCGACGTTTGAGAAAACAGGTTCTCTGAAGATTCAGTCAGGCAGAGGACGAAAACATGTACCACAGGATACAATCAAAGCAGTTGCCACGGTGATTGTCGACAGAGGACCAGACAATATTGCTGCCACCTCTAGCGCTCGTGGAGTAGCTCGGAATATGGATATGCCTTACAGTACGGTGTGGAAAATCTTACGAAAGATTACAACTTCTATCCATACAAGATCAGCCGTGTACAGGAGTTACTGTACCCAGACCATGATAAGAATTTGACTTTTGCTCTCACCTTTCTTGCCAGAATGGAGGTGGATGATGGTTAGCCGTGGAAAATCTTATGGGGAGATGAGGCCCACTTTTACCTGAATAAAACTGTGAATACCCAGAACTGCCAAATTTGGGATGACAAATCACCACATGCAGTCACAGCAATTCCCTTACATTCACCAAAGGTAACTGTTTGGTGTGGGTTCACAGCAGAATTTATCGTAGGTCCATTCTTCTATGAGAACATTACCCCGACAGGACCGGAAACCTGTTCTGTTACTGGAGAGAAATATCGCCACATGCTGAACAGCTTTGTTATTCCGGCACATCAGCAAGGACAATGCCTGGGGAAAATCATTTTCATGCAAAATGGAGCCCCTCCACACGTTGCTGTACGGGTGCAACAGATGCTACAACAGAAATTCACGACAGAAAGAGTTATTAGCCGCTACTTTCCAACTACATGGCCACCTCGGTCGCCTGATCTTACCCCATGCGACTTCTGGCTATGGGGTTACCTTAAGTCTATCAAGGTCTATCAAGGAAGTAGGTCCAGGACCTGGCTACGTTGAAGGATAACATATCAACGGACTGTACGGGAGATTACCTGCAGACATGTTACTTTCTGCTGTTGTGCATACTGTGCACAGAATGCAATATGTATTTCCACAACACGGCAGCCACATTGAACCTCATTTGAATGCAAAATAAAAGGTAATTTCTGTATTGATTTGCATTTGTTAACACTATTTTCTATTACACAATGCCAAATATTCCCCTAGCAGTGACTTTTGGAACTAATTTGTTTTTTCGCGGGAATCCTTCGTCCCTCGTCTTGTTTAATCTTCTACAAAATGTGGCGTCATTCTCGCAAATAGATTGCGCAACAGAACACTGTGAGCACTGTCAGTTTAATTATGACCACCCGATACATATCTTTGGTTCAATTTCTTAAAACAATTACGAAAGAAAAAAAAAAAAAAAAAAAAAAAAAAAAAAAACCCTGCCAATTAGAAATTTCAAAATTTATTTAAAAAAAAAGGGTACTTACGTACTATGATGACTACCTTGGCGATATTTGCCGATAAAAATCTTCATTGTCGATTTTAATTTATGTTTATAAATTCTTTTAAAAATAAAAGCCCTAATTATAATGGAACAAAAACTTAAAAACCAAAAGTCCTGAATATATATATATAATAGGGGGAACGGAAAGTAATGTAGCTTTCTTACATTAAATTCACACGAATAAATTTTTAGCACGTTTTTATTTTTAATCAATAATGTAATCAGTCTCGTTATCAACAATTTTGCCATCTAGGGTGCAGATTTTTAATCCCCGGACCGATATAAATCTACTGGTTTTTGAGTAAAATATCTCAAGATGGCATTTTGGACATAATTCAAAATTTTTTGGCACTAAGAAAATGTTGTAAGGATTGGAATAAATGGAAATCCAAGTGTAAAATATCGGGCGAGTATGGTGGGTGACGCAGCACCTCCCATTCCAATTCATTCATTTTTTCCAGTGTCCGTCTTGCACAGTGCGGTCTTGCATTATCATGTTGCAGAATGATGCCTTTTCTATTGACAATCGCTGGATATTTTTCAATTAAAGATTGGTTCATTCGATCCAATTGTTCACAATAAAGATCTGCATTAACAGTTTGTACAGGTTTCAGCAATTCAAAATGAACAATTCCGCAAATAATATGCCACCAAACACACAGACGCGCCTTTTTGGGATGTAAACTCTTTGCAACTCCTATTAAAACTACCTTTTGCGTTTTGGATTATCATATAGGACCCATTTTTTGTCTCCACTAATCAAACAATCAAAAAATGGTTCTGTATGGTGCCGTTGAAGCATTACGTTGCATGTGATGGATCGGTTGGCTTTGTTCTCTTC